TTGTGGCAGTTTGCTAAGGCAGTCACAGGAAATGAACAGTGGGGAGGGACAACGAAATGACTGAATGTGTAGGGCTTTTCTTGAAACATTCATAAAAACACTCATAAAAGCTCACGAGACACAGGCTTGGTCCATTGCTTCCCTGTACATAAGCATGTGCTTTATGGCTCTTTGCAGGGGTTTCTAAGAGATGACTTTCTAAATATTAGAGGGGAGTGAACATTTTCTCCTCTGCTTTTGAAAATTTGGAAGTGCCAATTTGGAGAATATATGATTTTGTTGCTATAGGTTTTGGTAGGCTTTGGCAGGTTGCCAGCATTCTGTTTGCATGATGCATGTGCATCTCAGGTTCTTGTTGTTTCGTATTTCCTTAAACATCTTGAGCACTACTTTTTGAGATTCAGACCTGTGAGTTTGTTTAGATTATAAAAGTGTGCCTTGCACTAAAAAGTGGAAATGTTGATTTCTTTTTAAAAAAGAAAGCAGGGCTTGCCTGGTGGTGCAGGGGTTAAAGGCTCAGCTCTATCAAGTTATAGCCAGCCACTGTGGTATTTCAGCATTTTGACCCCCAGCCAGGGAGCTACCCACACGGCACAGCAGACCTCTCCTGTCTCGCCCACTGCTCCCCTCAGCAGTGCATTTCAGTACATCCACCTGTTCTGCTCCCAACTCTGCCTCTGTGAATCCTTTCCCCGCCCCCATCTCTGGCCTATACCCCAGTTCTTGTATGCATAAATAAATAAAAAATAAATCTTAATAAATAAATAAAAATAAAATAAAAAAGAAAGCAAAGATATTAGAAACTGGCTGTTTGTTTTAACAATTTGCATTTGTATCATTCTACTATTAATTAATTTGACAAAATTGACCTGATTAATACAAATTCCTATATTCAATAATGATCAGAGAGCTTCTTTTGGCAAAAATTTATATCATCAAAAGAAAAAACAACATAAGTACAATGACTTTCATTAATTGTATCATCAGTATTAAATCTATGAGTTTGTAAAATTAACATAATTTTTATAAGGTTAAAAATTATGACAGTATATTTGAATCTTTCACATTCGTCTGTTCACTAGTAACACTATTATATAGTAAACATACCTCTGAATTGTACAAACTGGTATTCTAATTTATAATTGAACTTCATTAAAGTTACCAGAGACCTTCCCAGTGCAAGAAGTAATAATATTGTTTGGATATGAAATTGATGTTGGAGAATATGCAGGTCTTGAATTTAGAAGTACCAAAAACCCATTTCTGGTTAGAATTAGCTGTAATGTTATCTGAAGTTCCTAAACACTGCTTTTCTTGAATCACATAGGCCATATGCTTTAAACATATAAATGCTAGAAATTATTCTAAAACAACTTTATTGCTTTTGGAGTCTATATATATCTTGACATCATTTGTATAAGGTGGTGTCTGTGAAGTTGGTTTAAAAAAATATTTTCCTTATATATTTAACTTCATGCTGTTCAATATTCAGATAGTGACACTGGCTCTACTTCCACTTGGGCATGTGCTTTGGATTGTTTAACTACTAGTTGTCTTGGATTTAAAGTGGCCTTTCCATATTCATGTTTACCACGTCTCCTGGTTATTTTCCTAAATTCCTTCTTTAAAAGACTGCACACTATATTCTTCAAAAGTCAAAGAAAATTTTCTTTACGTCAATATTTTTTTTTCTTATGAAACATCTCCATTTTGTATTGATTTTGAAATCAAGAAATGAAAAGACAACATATTTCATCCATTAGTCATGAAAATTTTGACAGAATTCCAAATGTATAATTGTCACTATCTCAGTATTTGCAAAGGTCTATCTAAAAAATACCAAGCCGTAAATATTCTTCGTATTAAAAATGGCATTATTTTTCACCTATTAAGTGCCCCTAAATTCTCAGCTCAGGTACAACCTGAATTCATAAAAACCAAAATGACTACTCAGTCATAATCTTTTGCTTTTCTTTTTTAAAAAGATTTATTTATCATTGACAAACTGGGGTGTAGGCCAGATATGTGTGGGGGTAAGAGGATTCACCAAAGACAAAGGAGGGAGCAGAACAGGCAGATATACTGAAATACACTGCTGAGGAGAGCAGAAGGCGAGGCAGGAGAGGTGTGCTGCACCATGTGGGTCAGCTCCCTGGCTGGGGATCAAACTCAGGCCATCGTGGTGATAGTACTGAGACTTAAGCCCCAGGCCCCCAGAGAGGGCCTCTCTTACTTTTGTTGTGCTGCAGAGCTTCTCAGACTTTAAGGATCACCTAGGCATCACATAGTTTGATTGGAGGTCAATATTCTGGGACAGATTTTATTGTTTTTCTAACAAACTCCCAGGTGATCGTATTGCTGTTGGTTTGGGCATTTGAAATAGCAATATGGTATCCTCTTTTCTTCAATCTCCTGCAAATAGAACTCTTTGGAAACCCATCCTATCAATATGTGAATGTCCTAAGCATAGGTCAATCACAATCTCTCCTAACAAGTGATTTGGGGACTTCAGATAACATTTTCTTGGTGAGCTTAAGAACTGGGATTTATCTTTCTAGGACTATCTAACATGAAAGTAAAAGGGTGGTAAGAAAGAGTAAAGAGTAAGACTAGTATGAACAAGGTAAAGTGAACAAGATGAAAGACAGGAGTGTGTCCTGAGAACATTATTTGGATTTCTGGATCCAAATGTGCTTAATAAGAAGAGTTCATTCTTGGAATGACTAGTTAATAGTTTTTTTTACTTAAGCTAGTCTCAGTTTTTCTCCTTTACAATCCATAATTCTGATAAACTGAGCTGTCATTCAATAATAGGAAGTTTTTTTTTTTTTTTTTTTAAAGACTTATTTTTATTTATTTAAGCATACAAGAACTGGGGTGTAGGCCAGAGGTGTGGCAGATGAGAGGATTCACCAGAGACGAAAGTGGGGAGAACAGGCAGATCTACTGAAATACACTACTGAGGAGAGCAGTGGCCGAGATAGGAGAGGTCTGCTGTGCCATGTGGTTTTGCTCTCTGGCCTGGGAATTGTACTCAGGCTGCAGGGCTGGCAATAGCTTGATAGTGCCAGACAACTTGGGCACTACCAGGGAAACCCCAGCAAGAGACATTTTCTAAGTGTGGATGAAGTAATACAAACGTACAGCCAGATAAGAGCCCCAAAATAACTTAATGCATGTACTGAACTCAGTATTTTTATGAAAATTCAGAAGCAATTTCTAAAGTTATAGTTGAATTAGAGCACTGTTTCTTGACCTAAAGGTGTGTGATCTCCTATTTTTGATGAAAAGGACTTTTGAGTAGCTATATTTTTACTTTGTAGATGAAGAAATCAAAATCCACGTATTTTTCAAGGCCACATCCAAGATCACAGAACCAAGAGCCAAGTCTCCTCTTCCCATGCTAAACTTCCTTCACTCATTTTTATTCCTCATTGCATAAAGTTGCGCAGACTATCCTTCAATAAAATTGATTACAAATGTCTAAATGTAACTTTTTAAAAGAGTATTTACATTTGAGAAAATGGCAGAATAGTGAGGCACATATACAACCTGAAATCCATAAATGTATACACTCTGAAGGAATTTAAGAGTGTGATTCGAAAAGTACCAGTTTCAAATCACTATAAAGTTTAAACATTCTTTGAGAAAAGGAATTCTTAGTGTTCTTTATAATTTAAAAATTTAAGATTAAGATAGTAGGAAATAACTTTTTAAATGTATGTACTTTTCAAACAGTAGAAACTTGGGACTCATTTACAGTGAAACTAGTACCTGAAAGTGAAACTACTTATCTGGTTAAGTTTGTTTCATATATATGACTGAAAAATATAACTATGATGTTTTATTTAAAAAATCTGTAACTTAGTAAGTAAACAGTTACTTAGTATTAAAAATTCCTGTAACTTTGGTAATATTTTTAGATTTAGAAAACGACTATCTAAAATGGCTTAAAATAGTTTAATTGTAGTCTTAATAGCGTTTGCATGTGAGTTACTAACATAATCAAGATTGAAATAAATCTCCAAGCAATTTTACAAAAAAGAAAAAAACAAAACACTTTATTTTCCACAAGGAAGAGCAATAGGAAAAATTAAATCATTTCCCACATATTGTTTTCTTAAAACAGAGCCTACAAGGACATATTCAGCACCAAATAAAAAAGGAAAAAAAAAAAAAAGAAATTACAAACAGCCATAGAATATATTCCATAAAGCAAACATTTAATATTGCACTTTGTTTTGCTAACATTTTGGATTTTACTTTTCCTAATTGAAAAAATCAGGAATCTATTTTGAATACTGGAATAAACTGTGAACCTCACATCTTATGACAGGAATTGACCAATACTTAAAAAACAATAAAGTAATGCCTCTAAATATGAAAGTAAAGAAATCCTTTAACAAGGAAAATAAAACTTTATTTAATAAAGTTTTATATATTTAAATTTTTAATCACATTTTATTTTGTGACCCAGTGCCAATTATGAGAATATTGGTCATTCTTGTTTCATGTGTTATTTATAAGAGTATCATGTGATAAGTATTCCAATGCTATGCATATCAACAATTGTTCCCTAGTCAGTTAGACATGAGAGAAAAAAACAGGGATTTTTCTGACAACCCCCTCCCCCTCAAAAAAAAAAAAAAAAAAAAAAAAAAACCAACAAAAAACAAAAACCACCAAATGCCCTTAATGCCAAAAATTCCATTAGCTTCTTTTGAGGGGGACATTCACAAAATGATTTAACAATAAAAAAATATTTTCACCCCCATTTCCTTATTATCTAGTATTAATTTGCTACGGGAGCCCGAACCCTTAACCGAATCACTTAAAACGCGATTCATTTTTACACTGGGCTTTCTTCACCCTGTCAGCATTTTTCAAACATGAATTGTCTTCCATGTTTTCTTAAAGGCCACTTATGGAAAAGCCTATTTATTTTGTATGAAGCTTTAAGACAGTATTTAACCAGGTCAAGCACCAAGCTGGAGTTACTATTATTTTCAGCCACTATATTAACTGTGGGATTAAATGGCAGGATAGATGTAACATCCATTTCACACATATGTTGTAACATCAGAGATGCTGATTTTCATGAAAAACATCAGAGCTGAATTCCTTCTAAAATAAGACAATCAGTACACTTGGTACCTTGGAAAATGTAGTATTGTGTCCTCATGAATGCTGGTATATTTGTTATGAGTCAATGTAAATTATCTTTAATATAAATTATAATTTACTGACACGATCGTTCTTCCTATCTTATCTGTATAACATGAATGATTTCTTACATTTAGCAAAATGTACTTTAGGTAGTGAAAAAATACTTTCATTTAAAAAAAAATCCACAAAAATATAAAAGTTATTATCCCAGCACACATTCTATTTGTAATTCTGAAATTACCCACTTTTAGAGTGAACTTGGGTTTCCATACTGTTTCAAGCTTGAGCAGGACTGCAAATGCATAAACTGAGCTAGCACTTTAATCATAACCTATACATACATATATCCTTGCTCGTTAATATACTCTGTACCAGCAAAAATGATTTCCAACATATGTGTTTTGGAGGTAACTAAGTAACTCTGTATAAAAATAAATGCACTTTCTCCTCCTCTCCAGTGACTGGAAAACTTCCATACTTTTAAAATAATAAAAAAAATAATTTTTAAGAGCATCAGCCCTTAACTCTGCTGGTGCCTGCCATACTGCCTTTCTTTACTCCATTCTTAGCTCTGCTAGTTTCTTCTTATATGTAATGATAAAAAGGGAATGCGGGTGGGTTATCACTTTTGTGTATGTCCCTTTTCCAAATTTCCCTCTCCAAAAAGCCAAACAAACAAACAAACAAACAAACAAACAAAAAAATAACTCAACAGTGCAACAAAACACAAATAGCATTCCAACAGTTTGGCAAGTGATGCGTTCACCTGAGATTAAGTGATTTTAGGCAGTCAGTAACAAAATGCTGCTTTGCTGTAATAGTAGAAAGGCAACAAATTCTTAAAAGAAACCAAGAAGGTATACAATCTTGACAAGTCTCTTATTAGCTTCCTCCTCTTATCTCTTTTCCCATGTATCTGTTGCGTATCTACCACAGTAGGCTGCAGAACATACAGCAAGAAGGATTGGCTTGAAGGCATTTGATGTTTGTAAATAAATCCACGATAGGATCCAAGCTGAAGAGGTGATACATGGTCAGCCTAGTAGGACAATTCTGAGCATGTGCATACGCAGGTAAAGTCCAGGCTATATTAAATAAAAAAAAAATGTCAGTGCGCTTTTTCCATGTTACGTTTTTCAAAGCTTTCTTTTGTTCCTTGTTGTGCTGACCACAAACAAGTTTTAAGAATATCAAGAGTCTGGCATAAATGGAAAAAAAAAAAGCTGTAGTGACGTTGAACCGCACAATGTAAGCATTGAGCATGTGCAAATTTTCAAATCAAAAGAAGGAAATCATCCCTCTTTACAATGTGGTGTCTTGACACGTATGACCATAGGCTAAGAAGACTGCTCTTAATATGTGCCAGTTTTAAAGGAGAAAAGCTTAGATCTTCAAGCATGTTGGAGCAGTCCCAGAATGTTGTAGGCTTCTAAAGCATGATCACTGGTTGTTTCATGTATTTGCCATTTTTCTGGGCAAAGGCAATTCCACTTATCCACTTCCTCTGAAAACGTGTCTCCAAGATACTTCTCTGTCCTCAGCCGGGAAGAGATACAGTTCGGAATCCATATCAACTTGATTTACCAAGTGTTCCTTCAACGAGAGGGGCAAGATGGTCTATCATCTGCTGACTGATCAGGATTTGGATCAATCTAGAATTGAAAGAAGGAAACAAAAAATCAGTTATTTGATAAGGTCAAATAAGAATGCAACAAATGACTAAGATTCTGAGCATGAGTATTATGCATCAAGTACCTGATACTCAGTCACTAGAATAATGAAATTCATAAAGAGATAACTGAATAGTTCTTTGACAAATGCCAATGGTAAAATTTTATCAAAGAATGGAATTCTTGGGCCTCCCTGGTGGTGCAAGGGGTTAAGCACCACACTATGAAGCAATCGCAGCCTCCGCAGCATGAGTCCGAACCCCGGCTGTCCAGGGAGCAACCCACATGGCGAAGCAGACCGACCTCTCTTGTCTTGCCTACTGCTTCCCTCAGCAGTCTATTTCAGTCAGTCTGCCTGTTCTGTTCCCCACTCTGTCTCTGGTGAGTCCTCTCACCCCCTCCCCGCTTCTCTGGCCTGTACCCCAGCTCCTGTATGCATAATTAAATAAATCTTTAAAAAAAAAAAAAGAATGGAATTCTTATTCAGCACTTAGTAATATTTAAGACTCAAATACACATCCTTGAAAAGTCATTCCATCTCTTCTTTAGGTTTTGAGAAGAACACAGTTGTGTAAAAATGTTGTTGGTACTTATCTGAGGAAGTAACTCATAGACGTAAAACCCCAGAGAAGGCCAAAAAACAGTGTATATCAAGAAAGTGTAATGCTGAATCCAAAATGCTCTAGGGGCTTCCTACCTCCTCTACCTGTAGAGTGACTTTCTTATGCATATACACTTAATAAAAGTGAATATATTTCAGTTGCTTCTCAGGTGCAAAAGGGATGGGCACAGGAGAACAAATTGTTGTGTTTACTACATTTCTTTACTGAATGAGCTTTTTGGCTAAGACTCATTTAACTTGTATTTGAATATGGAACAATTCAAAGTACTTCAGAAGCTTAAAATTTTGAAGAAAAAGAGTCAAATATCCTTTATTTTATGATTATCCTTTAACAACGTGAACATTTAAAATAGTTATCTAGAACTAACCCCCCCACCCTGGCGTGGCTAGATGTTAAATCATAACCTGAACCAATTTAGGTTCTTGAGAGTTCTTCTTAATATCTTCAGTTCATTTTAAATGGAAGTAGAATTTTATGATAAATTGTTTAAAAGTGGATAGGTTGCCATTCTTTTAAAATGCCTGTTTAACAGTCAGGAAGGCGCAGATAAAATTAGAAATAACTGACTATTAATAAGCAAGATACAAATGTCAGTACAGAAATGTGGCATAAAACCTGTAACAAGTGGGAAAATATTTTTAGTATCTAATGAAAAATTTTATGAATAAGTGGGATAGCAAAATTATGTCTAATCGAAATTTTCAAGACCAAATTCTGAATGTCCTATACTCAACAAGTAGATTTCTATTAACCACTCCCCCCCAAAAAATGACTACAGTAATTATAAAGAAAAAAAAAAATGAGTAATTTGTTGGGGAAAAAAACATTTTTTTTAAGAATGAGACTACCCTTACCCTCCACCTTTATGCCTTATTTGGGAATCATATTCCAATGTTAAAAAAAAAGTCTAAATTAAAGTAAGCAAAACAAGCTGATTCCAGTGATTTACAAAATTATTTGACATCAAGGTCAACTTTAAATCCCCTAAAACATGTATTTTATGTATACGTATTCTCAAGTGTTCTGAAATTGTTGGAATCCTCCCAACCTTTCCAGCCTTTGCACATGCTGTTCTTTCCTCCTAGGACTGTCTTATTTTTTAAGGACTATTCATTCTTCGAGAGTCAGATTAACAATCACCTTAGGAATGATGGTCCCAATTTACAAAGCTCAATAAGCTGCTCCTCAAATAACTGTGTATACCTATCACACTGTTATGTAGGTTTTCCCCTTACTAATCTCTGAGCTGCTTCCAAGTATGGATCATGTTTTATTCACGTATGTGTTTAGTTGTCCTCAATATGAAATGAAAAAAGATAATCTAACCGTATAAAAATATTGCTTAACATGTGACTGTAAATATATTTTCCCCCATTACCCGAGAATATTGAACAATGCAAGAATTAAGTTGGAAAAGATCATGGATAAATTCCAGTTATTTAATCCAAGCTTGCAAAATGTCAGTTATACTGATGCTTTAAAATATCAATTATTCCTTCAATACACATTTTGCAAGCATGAGGTTAATTATCTTTATTTCTCCCCCAAATATAAGTGAACAGTTTTACTGTTTCTTTTTCAATTTTTTCTATCATCACAATAATCAGAACTAAACTATATTTTTAAATAGTGTGCAAATCTGTTTCCAAGAGAGTAGCTCATTCATACTTGAGTTGTGCTTACCTCTGAATAAAGAGGTGGAGGCAAGAACCGAAACTCCTGGATATATGCAAACAGTGGTCCTTGAAGCGCTCTCTCAAAGTCATCACAAGCACTCACTGGTACAAGATTGTTCCGCCTTTGTTCCTCTGTTACCACTTCTGCATAGCTGGGTGGTGCTGAAGGAAAAAGATACACGCAATTCGAACAGCATGTTCTTATGCATGTCAAAATATACAGAATAGTAGATATTAAAAAGGAATGTCAAAGTAAAGTAGTAAGTATTTGTTTTGTTATCAAAACTAGGGACACAGTCTTTTAAATTTAATATCGGGGCACATCTATTCTCTTGAGGTATAAATAAATGTATATCTAATCATAATGTATCAGAGGCAAGATTATGTTCTTGAAAAACAATAAAAGTTTTGATATGCAGTATCAAATTACCTTCAGGTCTTTCAGGTAGGGATAAACCAAGCCAGTTCATATTCATGCTACACTGACTGCTTACACTTGAGGTTCTGCTACCAAATGGATGTAGAGGAATGGTACCGATGACAAGTGGCAAATTAAGAAATAAATCCATAGCTCCAGGAATATCCACATATACCTAAACGTTGAAAGGAGACATTAAGTTTAGAATGACAACTACAATTTCCTTTTTAAAAACTAGTATTTCAATTTTAATGTTATTTAAAGCCCTATTTACTTTATTTCTTAACTTTTATATGTGGAAACACATCATTAAATATAATACACATGGAAAATTTCCTGATTATACTGTATAGTACATTTGCATGTATGACAAAATTACTAATTGTAGTTCAATGATATATACAAACTATATATTCACATTTGTATATATCACTTATAGAATATAAAAATAAAATTCTGAATGTAAGACAATAATATATCCCTGTAACTTTAAGATATAAAACAAACAAATAAACTAAACCATAAGTCTATACAAACCATTAGCGAATATTCCACGCGGATTATACTACAGTCAAGGATAGAGGGAGAAACCGGTGGAATTTTCAGCAATTTGCCATTCCATGTCTCTGTCTTTCCAGATGATAAGGATTCCCCACGCAAGTTGGCCACAAGCTGTTTTACTTCCTTCATTTTCCCTTTGGCATAGAAGGCCTGTGTTTGGTAAATGGCTGCCTTTGGCACCACCATTCGGGAAGAGCAGTTCTCAATCTCAGCAAATATCTGAATTGATTCACCTAGAGGGAAAAAATGTATTTGTTGTTTAAAAAATACCACCCAAAAGAAATGTAGATTCTTGGGCTAAAGTTTGAAAGTTTAAGAGAGTACATGGATAAAAACAGTTCTAATCATGGCAAGTAACTACTCGTGAAAATGAACTACTCATTTTGAGCAGTTTAAAAATACGAGCCTAGATTTCAACTTATCAAGGTAAACCAGACAAGCACAAATTTTTGTTATTTTATCAAAGAATACTTTATCATATTTGCATGAAGTAGAAATTATAAATTTGTACATAAAAGCTAAGTGAAGAATGTTTTTAGTGGGAATTCACCTCAAACGTACCTGGGGTATAGCCCTTCCTCTCGATTTTGGCACTTAAGGATATTGGGCCTGAGGTACAGAACCAGCAACAGAGAGTCTTTTCTTTTGTGCCTGCTTGGGGTGACTGTAAGAAATAAATGTAGAGAAAAAGATCAATATGTGCCTTGGTACGGGAATGTTTTCAAATACTATACGACATTTACGGAGAATTTACACTAAAAGCAGTGCTGCTTTTCTTTCAGTATCCAAATATACTTTTTTTGGTTTATTCATCAATGGTTTATGAATTATATGATTATTGTCTTGATATAAGTTTCCATTCAGTTAAGCAAAAAAAAAAAAAAAAAAAGGTACAGGACTTAATACTGTATTTAATAAACATAATTTTAGCCCACACTATTTACACAGACAGTAGTTAAAAATCAACTAACCAAATAAACAACAACAAAAAAACCCTTTCCACATTCCATTTAATTTGCCTTAAAAAAAGGCAGTTTGGAAACCCACTTAGTAGGTAATCCTAAATGTTAACATCTTTCTTTGAGGATATAAAATTCAACATGTAAAATAATGCTGTTTCTAAAAATTAACTCTTATTTGCATAAAGATGTTATCATTTATTTAAACCAAATAAAGATTTTGGTCAAATTTTAATTGTAATAAAAAAATGCAATTAAAAAAGGTTTCTTTTGTAATGGAATTAAGTTTTTCGTGAAAGTGAGCTCCCCATCATTTGACAACTATCCCTATGTTGGAATAATGCAAAATTTTAGATAACAGTATTTTCAAATTTTATGATAATGTCTTACAATAATTGATACTGTTCCTTTCCCATTAAAATTATCCAGGGAACAGATTTATTTTATATGTTAACTAGGTTTGTATGGTAATGTTTCAGAAAGAGATATATCATACTATATATATACTGATCTTACTTTAAAAATTTACTTGATGTTATAATATCAGAAAATATGAGCATATTTTTCATTAATTTGTATACTTTCGAGTTTTTCTTTTATATAAATATTTACTGAATTTTAAAATAAAATTACTATTGCAGAATTATAAAGATTGCATAGTTTATGTGATTATTCTTCAGTATTTATGTGCCAAAAACAAAGAATGAAGAATTCAGTCAATTCTTACCAGTAATGAAGGAGTGTTGATATCTATATGCTCAAAGACTGTAAATTCCTTCTTTAATTTTACTGGTAGAAGCCAAGGCCTGTGCAATTCGGCTTTCACCCAATAGCGCACACTGCCATGTCGGCCTTCGAATGAGGTAGCAAGTGGTCTGTGCAGAATATAAAGGTCAATATATTAATCTTATACCTCTTTCTAATAATTATACAGTAAGTCAGCATAGAAGTGTTACTATATTACTGTTTCTAGATCAATGAGGTATCAAACATAATTTTAAAAAAATTTCCAAAGGGATAAGTCACTGGGGAAAATAAGTTGTGTCCAAATAACAATAGATAATAGTTTAATATAAAAATTTTGTTTCAAAATGCCAGAAGAACATAATCCTTTTAAATTAAGAAGAGGCTACTTTTAATGCTGGTGGCAAAATTATCATAGTTTCGAAATGAACAATTCTTTAAAGAGTCAAGGTTTTAATACTTAAAATGAAGTTAAGAATGGCTTAATTATTTCTACTGGGAAATTCTAGTCACTAGTTAAAATATTTCAGACCAAATTTCCTACAGTGTTCCACTTTTCATTAGCTAGGAATTATCTCTTTTTATAGGAACTAATTAAAGGTCTAAAAAAGGCTTAGAATAGTCTTTAGAGTTTCAAAAATTTCACATTTCATAAAGTCCATTGAAACTCATAAAAAAGTGCTTTTTCAGATCCCAGTTTACTCATGCTCTAAGTCTGTTTTCTTGCCATGTTTTTTAACTTTACTCTATAGGCTTAAAAAGAAATATTTCAACTGAACTGTAGTAAGAGAAATGACTGTTTTTCAACTCTCCCAGATTTTATTACCTGTGGAAAGTTTTATTTTAGTGAGTTTAGTCCCTTTTTCATAATTGCATTAGAAAAATGCTCAATGTTCAGTTATTTTCAAAGTACAATGCTAGCTTAGATTAGTAAGAGAAGCAGTGGTGTTTTTACAATTTTTTTTCACATTTAGACTCTAGCATTAACTTCCATAGCACAGAGAAATAAAATGCAGTATTATGCTACTCTTCTAGAGTTTATTTTAGACAAGTGGTTTACAGATAGAATTAAAAAAATATATTACCACATCCTTTGAAATTGCTCAGGCCCAGCATTAGCCTTATTGTATTCAGACTTAAAATATTATGTTCAAGTAAAATGTTAAATAGAACACTTTGAAAAATATCATTTAAAAAGTTTACGCATGTATATAGCACAAGTACTGGAATTAACAAAAATATAGACTTACGTACTTTTGGTACTTGATAAATTCTTATTAAGTTTTTTCTGTAGAAAAATCAGTACCAGTGCCACTTTGCATGTTTTAATTTGCTAAAGGCATTACTAGACAATTTTTTTTGGTGAGTTCTCTTCCTCACAATCTGCTATTACATTGAGAATATTCCTAATTATTTCTTACCTCCTTAACTTGCTGTTTTTGATTAAAATTAGTTGAAAAGGTAAAAAGCTAATTTTTTTCATAAACTACAGAATGAGCGACATCACATGTTTTATCTTTTCTGCTAATGTTAAGTGATAATAAAATATATACTTTTCAACTGTACTATTTGGAAAATGAAACACTATTCACAGTAAAAAAAAAAAAACCTCATTAAGAATTGGGCTTTGATTTCTATAATTTTGCCACACTATATTAAAAAATAGCTTCCTTTTATAGTATATTATTTTCCTCTAGCAAGTTTCAGTAATGAAAAGGGTTTTTTTAAACTATAAATGTTTAGAATATTTAATGTAAAAAGAATGGATGTTTATGAACAATGTGCATTGCTTATAATACTTACGTCTGTGGAAGCTCAAAGCTGAATGCATATTCATGCCTTCCTGAATGAATAGTGTTGAAGCCTTCTTCGGAATTATCATCATCTAAAAGAAACAGAAAAACAAGAAATTTGTTAAACCTTTTACATACTATGGCAAACTTTTAAAGACCTTCATCTAATAACTAAGGCCACAAACTTTGGAGTCTGGTAGAGCTAATTCCTACTTCATTACTTATTCCGGGTCTCAGCTGCCTCATCTATACAGTGGGAACAATTAATATTTATACCCCATAGGCAGTTTTTCATTGAAAATGACCCAAACGTGAAAGCATGTACATCTCATACATATGTTCAAAAAAAATTTAGGTCAAAGCTTACATACTAAGATGTTATTTTTGCTTCCAATGATTTACTTAAGTATATTAAGACTATAAATGAAACCTGTTTATAGAAACCTTTAAAACACGTCGTTTTTGATACAGAAGATGTAAATGTCACACAATTCTAGAACCTGTCCTATAGATGTTGCATGAAAAAAGAGAAGTGATTTTAATGCCACTTTCATAGCTAAAAATAAAAATTCATCATTGACTCTGATTACCACCGTCTGTCCCAGCAATAGCTAAAAAACTGCTTGTATAAAAACACACCTCAGATTTAAAAGGTGCCTGCTTACAAGTGTCCCTTATCTTTGAAAGATGAAGTCTAATTAGTTTGCTATTGCTAGAATAAAGGGACTGCCTTTGATATCATTATCGATTTCTTTCGTCAAATACAGGCTTTAAATGTCTCCAAAATACATGACGAATATAGGCAACTCTAAAAATATTTTGGAAGCGTCTTGGCTAGGTAATTACGTAAACGTCTCTATTAACCATGAGAGCAGGAGAAACGGTTATTCCCGTTTAACTTTCCTTGGAATTGACACAAGCAACGTGATGCTTTCCTTACATCACAGGAGAACAGGGGGCAAGCGCCTAGAGACGTGTATGTATACTTTTGTTCAAAAATCATTGTGATGTGCTTATACAGCAAGTTGCACTATTTCCCTCGTGTCCTGAGGAACGGATTTCAGCACCCAAAACTGGTGAGTTGGGGGCCATTTAAATACGCTCCCCTCCAAGACGCCCAAAGTTTGCCTCCCGCACCCTTTCTTCCCGTCTCGCTCCCTTTTTGTGCCAGCTCAGCAGTCTCATTGAGGAGAGCGGCGGCCGCGCTGTGGTAAACAAGTGCCGGGCTGTCAATCAAGAACTAGACCGGAGCAGGAGAGGACCGGCCTAAACCGGCGCGAGCAGATCCCAGCCGGCCCGCCCGCGCGCCGCCGCCGCCCGCGCGCCCCGCTATACATACGGCATACGTCGCGCGGCGCGCGCCCGCGCAGCCTAGCCTGCTGACGGGGGGCGGGGCGACGGCGCCGCCGCGCTTCCGCTTTACACGCCCCAGCCGGCGACCGGTTCGATCTGGCTCGGGCCACCCTGACACCTTTACAGTTGAGCCTAGGGAGCCTGGGGCCGTGAGGGGGAGGGTGCTGAGGCGGGGGGGGGGGACTGGAGAACCAAAGGCTCCAGTGAACAATGGGGAGGGGGGCAGGGAACGCCAGCCGAGGCCGACCTCACCCCCCCCCCCAACCTATGTTAGTATCACTTTTCCATCCCCTCCCCGCCAACCTTTGCGATCTCTCCCTTCAGGTCAAATCAAGGTAGCGAGCCTTTGACTGCCTATTCGGGGAACACGGTTTATTTCAAGTAGCAGGAAAAAAAAAACGAGCATTCCCAGAAGCCACCTGACAGCGCCTGCCAGGAGACTGGGGGCCGGTTAACCGAGCCCACCCAAGTTTCCTCCACACCGCGCTGTCAGCTAAAGTTGCACCCAGGGCCGTTCGGCACCTGTGAGGCCGGCAGGAGCTTCTCTCCTCTACGCTGTGGAAACCGTAAGTCGCTTCTTTCGGGCCACAAGCTGGCCGAGGGGGCGACAGAATGTGAGGTGACTCGGGCCTCGGGCACCTCCATAAGCCCGAGAGGGACGCGAGTAGGGGCGGGAGCGGCCACTCTGGAGGGATCGTTACCGGCACACGCCGGTTCCAAGCCACGCCCAGCCGGTGCGAGCCCACTCTCCCCACCCGCCGCGCCCAATCCAATCAGAGCCTGGCATCGCCTTAGCAACAGGCTAACAAACCGGGCTCCGCCTATCCCCGGCCGCCCGGGGCGGGGTCTCGGCGACCAGGCTAGTTTGAGAGGTCCCAGTTTTAAGTCATTGAAACTATTCCAGGCTAAGAGCTCGTCCACGCTTTGCAGGGGTGTAGAGGGGTGTCTTGTGGGGTGCGGGGCATAGTTTTCTCTACCATGCAATCATGAGGCAAGTGATGAAATTGTCCCCTGAACTTGTTCTACTTTTACCCCACGGCGAGCTTCAAATCCTTAAAAAGCTTTGATTTTTTTTCACTCATTTTATAAAAAGCTGCAATGTCCAGGAAGGCTCAAACACAAACTCATGTGTCTGCTTTTCACCACATACTGGGACTGTCATTAGGTATTTGCATTTATAAATCAGTGTTCCATTTTGTAGATATTAGATTATTTCAGGCTGCCAATTACGTATAGGTATTAAAACCCAACTAAAGAATTAACTTCACCTTGATAGTTTCAAACATAATGCATTAAAGCTGCAACTCAAAGCATCCTTCATTTGCACACTTGCCTTAGGTAGCAGTTCCTCAGGGATGTGTTAACAAGGTAATACCAAAAAACGGTAAGAATGTACGCTATTCTTTTGAAAAATCGTCAGCATTTCAACTAAATACTGCATTAAAAGGAGAAGCACAAAAATTACATAACCAGTTTTAACATTATATTCTTCTTGGGCTAGGAATTAAGTCATCGCCACCACCTGACGCGTGTAACCAATCTGCTGAGAGCAGAGCGAGCGCCCCTCCTCACCACCCCCCAGAACTGGTCCGAAACAGGATTGAACCGCTTCTAACAAAGGGTGGAAACTTAGAAAAACAAGCTTAGAGTCTCCTATATTTCCACAATGTAACCATTTAAACAATAGACTGGAAATCTCAGGACCCCTTCTTCCTTTGACAACCCTTCATCTCCCCTTTCTAAGCAAAAATCAAATCCAATGTGCCGAATACTTTTCAATTCCATTTGACGGGCTCGGGTTTCATTGAATGCACGTCCCAAAGTTAGGCATGATGCTCGGAAAAGGAAATTAGTGACCCTAAATGGCTTCTAGAACTGATTTAAAACCTGTCATAACGACAAGACACTGTCCTTTAAAACAGAAAATGCTTGGTGTAAATTTCTCAAGGAACTGGAAAGAATAGGGAAAAAACACGTGGGGTGTTGATGCCATATGTCAAAATAAGCCATAGAAACCCTTTATCAAAGAACAATGATCAATTCTTAAAGTCTTTTGCACGACAATATTAAAAACGAAACACACTTATTAGCCCACTAAGAATGTTATTCCACTTCTTCATTGAAGCTTAATTTTTATAGGTAAGGTTGCGAAGTACAAGAAAAATCCAGTACTGGCCTGCAGGCTTTAGCAATTCATTTGAAAATACATTAATAAAATTATTGAATCAGATTTAAGCTGAATTTGTAAGTAAAGTGCAAATGGATAGCAAGTGCGTAAGGCACAGCCCAAGCCGGGTACAGAGGTAGTTGAATAAGTGCAGTTTGCAGTCACTTTGCAGATGCCTGCATGCATTAGGGCTTAACATACGATGAATGTCAAGGGGAATCCAGATCTCCCAACTTTGCTAATCTTTTCAAACTGCTATGTGTTGTGCTAGTAGTAGAATTACATTAATTCAGAAAAACTAAAAAGGTACTCGAAGAAAACACGACTAATAATGATTTCTGAATAACATATACACTTACCTCTTTCGTGTCCAATTAAGATGTCTTTATGGTTGAAATATTCTACTTCTTCAGTGTAATTCTGTGTGTAGGCAGTATTGGAGCCGGCGTTTCTAGATTCGGTCCAGCGTACTTTCGCATGTCCTCTTGCATGAATTTTAAGAGATTTTACTCTGATTTCTCCAGTAACTTCTAAATTCACCCTTCCTGAGACTGTATCCCCACTCGAGTACACGGGGACATTGCTGTCATTAAGACAGTCAAAGCTTATTGTCAAACTCTTCACCTTTCCCAGCACCATGTTTATAACAAAATCTATAAAAATATAATGTAAGACCAAAAAAAGTCAAGATCGCATATAAAATGTGATCTTCACTAACACTGATCGATGTCTTTGCCGTGCAGAAAGCTTGCAGGCAGGATCAGTAATTCTTTACAAATAGTTCATTGAGATTTCTTAAAAAGTCAGGGCAGCAGAGGCTGCTGCTGCACGCTCCTGCTCGTCTCAGTGGTCTCCTTACAAAGACGGGCGGCTGGAGCCTGCCAGCTCACTTTAAGAACAGCTTTGTGAAAAACAACCCCAGTGCGCATGCGCACGCCGCTGCTCTGCGCCCTCCCTGCGCGCCCCCTCCCTGGCCGGGCTCGCTCCCTCGCTCGCTCGCTCGCTCGCGGGTACAGTAGGTGCAGAGCCGGGGGAAGAAGACACTGGGGCTGCCGGGAGGCTGAACCTGACTTCTCTTCATTGTGGGCTCCCATTGGTAGGCAGGCTACCGTAAACCCTCGATGTGCTATCTGGGCACCCCATACCGAGCACACTCTAATAGAAAGATAATAGCTGGGGGGGTTCCTGGGGACCTGGACTGGGTGGGGAGCCGGTTGCAAAGCCAAGTGAGGATAGACGGAGGGACCTGTCCGGAGCGCGCGTTACCGGCACCGCGGGGTTTCACCCAGTGCTCGGATGAGAGGAGGAAAAAGTGATGTGTGAAGAGAGATGGGGGAAGGGGAGAAACCGGTTGGGCAAGAGGCTGGCTGTGGAATATAATCTAACGAATTTCAAAAGAAAACGTAATAAAAGCCAGACAAGAAATAATGTTCACAGACGAGGGTATTCTTGGCTTGGCTTTTCTTTTTTTTTAAGCCAGTGCTCTGTTGGCAGGGTGGAAGTGAACTCAGTTCATTTAGGCCAAAGGACCTTGCAAGAGAATATTATAAGGAGCAGGGAAGAGAAACAAGTATCATCAATAGGTTTTGCTTTCTCAACTGCGTTTTCTTCTATCTCTTAATTAGAGAGCAACGTAGACAACCAAGTTGTTTGCACGATGACACCAGTGGGGGGAAAAAAAAACCTGACCACTTCCTCGAAGGAAGAAAAAGCCCTTTTTTAAGACACCACCTACTACTAGATTTGCGGGGTACAACATGATTATACCTCTGTCTCGAACAGTAAGAATAGAATTCAGACTGAAAAAATACCACCTTAGAAAAGGCAGCATGACATGTCTTGTCTTAGCTGACATAATGTTTACAGGATCCAAAAATATTGGTTAGAAATTAGTGCAGTGCATATATTTTCTTAAAGCGTGATTTAGTATATACTGGGACTATAAGGGACTTAATTATGTAAAGCTTTAATTTTCATTTTTAGCCGAATCTTTTGTTCTAGTTAGTAATACTCATTAAATCATTTTGAAGACAAGTACATTTGTCTTTTTTTATTTTTAGTGTTTTCGTAACAAATGGGAGTGCTTTCAGAAGACCATATTGGGATCCAAGGCAAAACACCATCAACTTATTTAGATATTTGGCAATCAACAAAACTGCTTAAGAGAGAAATATAGAAAGAAAAAAATACCATTCTAAAACTATGTGACTGACAAATGCATTTTGGAGGATTTTTGACTGTACATGTCTGAAATATTTTAGAGTCTGTGTGCAGTACATTTGAATAGGAGTCACAATAAATGTATTAATCTTCTTGTTTTTCTTTTTTAAGAAACTAAATTTTGTTTTGTTGCATTTTACTTGACAAGGCAGTATCTTAAATTTATATAAAATATAAATATATAAACTGTTTGGACAGCTAATGGGCAGGCCATATATCTGTGGGAGAGTTTAGATGGTTATGCTTGAAACGATGAATTTGTGTATTTCAGTGGGAAAAATCTACTCCCCCCCCCTCCCCTCTCTTGGTTGACACCTGGTGGAAATTCTGGTTATTCCAATGCTTGGGATCGCCCACAAGTTTTGATAACAGATACTGCTTGGTTTTTTTCGCCACCTAGTGGTAAGAGTGGTAAATTTACTAAAATGTCAGCTATGTGATGTTAATAGTTAAGTATTCAAATAATATTGGGCGAGGGACAGATTTAAAAGTGCAGTACACAGTGAGGCCTTCATTACTAAGTTTGTTTTAAATTTCTTAATCAGGGCCTCCCCGGTGGCGCAGCGGTTGAGCGCTGGGTTGCAAAGCTGCCCGCGGCCTCTGCGGCGCCGGTTCGATCCCCTGCTGCTTCCCGGCCACCGGAGGAGGGTCCCACATGGCGCCCGCTGCTCCCCTCAGCAGTGTACCTCGGTCCTTCTGCCTGCTCTGCTCCTCGCTCTGGCTCTGGTGAATTCTCTCACCCTCCCGCGCTTCTGACTGTACCCAGTGCATGTATAAACAAAACAAACAAAAACAAACAAATAAATAAAACATGCCTCTATAAAAAAAAAAATAAATAAATTTCTTAATCAGTGGTCAAGCAATGTCTGAATTCTTTAGAATTTTCCATAAAATTTATTCAATTGTAATTGCATGTAGTGAAAAAAAAAAAAGACCTAAAAGATTTACTTGTAGTTCAAAATTATTTTATGCATTAAGCGATTCATTCTTGGGCCTCCCTGGTGGCACAAGATAGCATTGTGAAGCTATCTGCATCCACTGCAGCATGAGTTCAATCCCCAGCCAGGGAGATACCCACATAGCGCAGCAGACCTCTCTTGACTCACCCACTGCTCCCCTCAGCAGTGTATTTCAGTCAATCCGCCTGTTCTGTTCCCTACTCTTGTCTCTGGTGAATCCTCTCACCCCCACGCCCCACACCTGTGGCCTGTACCCCAGTTCTTGTATGCATAAATAAATCTTTAAAAAAATAAATGATTCATATATTGCATTTATGCCTTCTGTTCGAAGCTTTTAGGCTATTAGAAATCATTTTCTTTATTATTTGTTTCATGCTTTCTCTTTGTTTCACTGTGTCTTCCTAAATACCTTAGTAACTTAAAAAGTTGCCAAGAAATTTTTTTTTTTTAAGATTTTATTTATTTATTTATACAAGCACTAGGGACAGTCAGAAGTGCGGGAGGTGATAGAATTCACCAGAGCCAGAGTGGAGAGCAGAACAGGCAGACTGATGAAGTACACTGCTGAGGGGAGCAGCGGGCGGCAGGAGAGGTCTGCACGCCATGTGGGACCCTTGCCCCGTGGCCAGGGATCAAACCAGTGCTGCAGAGGCTGCGGGCAGCTTCTCAACCCAGCGCTCAACCGCTGCGCCACTGGGGAGGCCCAAGAAGTTCTTATCCCCTATCATTTTTACTTTTCTTCTCCTTAGATTTGGTCAGGTGACTTTTTAAATGCCTTAACCTGAATTTACTTGTTTCTTTTTGTTTTTCTTTCTTTAAACTATGAAAACCAGAGGCATACAACCCTGGCATTTCTAAATTCCTGTTTTGGTTTTCATTTCTAAAAAAACACAAACACTTGTACAAAATTTTGAATGTTTTCCCTTATGATTTTTATAACCTCCCCTTTTCAACACCCTTTAGACATCTCACAATGCTGATTTGTGGCAGTTATCGTGGGCTTCTGGACTTGCTTCACTGGGCCTTTATTGTATTTTGCATTAAATTTAAGCTATTCATCTTTACCATTAAGGCTCTTTCCTACTGCGCCCCAGCCTACGTCTCATATGCCATCTCCTCCTACTCATCTGCTAACTCTCTATACTCCTGTCAAGTACATCTTCTGTCCCCTTTGTTAGCTTGTCTCACTGTTGCCAATGTGCAGTTACATGCTGCTTTCTGTGCCCAGAACAACATCCCACTGCTGTGTTATCTCCTTTCCCTCCTCCTAACCCCTCCACTGGATTCGGTTGCCACAACTGAATAAAATTCCAGCTAGACAGAATAACAAGCTCCACCTCTCCTTTATATAGCTTCTTCAGAGCTTAAACAGGAATATTTTTTTTAGTGGTATTTGTTTCTTGGATTTAAATTCGATAGCTGTCCCACTTAACTATAAAGGCTTAAACTGACTGTCAAGAATTCTGTCTTAATCTGAGAAATGATAATCTCTATTAAGATACATAATTTTGAGTTGATATATCAGTAATTCTGCCAAGTCCGAATTTTTTTTCCACATAGTTTATCAAAATGCTCAAAATTGTTTTTAAAAAAGCAAGTCATCTCAACTGAAAGTTTTGGTGTGTGATTTTAAGAAAAATCATAAAAGAAGTCGGAACTTTCTTAAAGAAAAAATAGTAAATTCACGCTTGCTCCTTATTTTAACCAACACCTAACAGGCTTGAGTGCTGTAGAAGTAAAGGAGGAAAATTCTTTATTTCAACATTTTGTAACTCTGACTTAACTCTTTAACATCTTCAGAATGCAACAATTGGACTTTGGTATAGAGATTTCAGGTAATATTTGCTATATTATTAGTAAAATGAGTAGGGTTTATTTTTATATTTAAGGATTAGGTATTTGTTACAGTTTTCATGCTTTTTTTTTGGATAAGAGAAAAAGCCATAGAGAAATTTAATAACAACATGTGTAATACCTCCTGTCTATGTGAGACTCAGCATGACTGAATAGCTCACTTATGTATAGTCTTCATGCTTAATAGACATTTAAATGTGTGTGGGTTTCCTGCTAAAATTCAGTATTAAATTTGATTTCTATTCTCCATCACTAATACAATAGTGTGATATATTATATACGTAATAGAAGTAGTATATGTGTCATGTGAACACCATTTAGTCTTCTATTTTTGATTTTCTGATTTAAAATAAAATCATCCATAATTCTGAGATTCACCAAGATATATTACTGTTCTATCTGAATGTTCACCAAAGAAAGAAAAGCATTGCCAGTTAAGTTATGGCATGCTGCTTATCACATAAAATTTTTTAAAATATGAATTTTTTAATTTTAATTTTTTAATTTTGTATATTTTTTGCATCATTTTTCATTTTTGCACAATGTATGCATTTTCATCTTGGTTATATTCCCTATACAATTCCCACCCCCCTTATTTTAATGACCCTAATCCCTCCCCCACCCCCCCACCCCCGTAGTGTGTCTCTGGTTTATAGTTGCTTGTTGATTTTGATTTTTACTTTATTATAATTAGTCTTTTTCCTGGTCCCTTATTTAGGTTTCCTAAATTCCTGCTATGAGTGGGACCATCTGGTATTTTTTGTTTTCTTTCTGGCTTATTTCATTGAGCATGACCCCTTCTAGCTCCAACCATGTTGCTGCAAATTGCATGAGGTTATCTTTTTTGATTGCTG